TGCCTAAGATTTCGTCGTCAATCTTCCAAGGCACGCAAAGCTCTCCACTGTTGTTAGGTGAGTCCCACTGATGTTTACATGTGGTTCTTCGTAGTCAGCATTTGGCGTCGTTTGGTCCAGGGCTACTGTCTTCTCTGTGCTGATGTTCCGGCCGAGGTTAGAAAAGCGGGAGTCGAATGTGCTCACATCCCACTGCATGATGGCGTCCGCTGTGGTGTATAGCACGCAGTCGTCAGCGTACCATAGGGCATGGACGCTGACATTGGAAACCCTCGAAGATGTTTGCAAATGACGACTTTTGAGAAGTGTTCGGTTGGTTCGGTAGTCGATATCGATCTCTGGCCGCTCCAAATGCTATGCGTCCATCAGTAGGACGCAGAACACAAGACCTACTAAGGTGGCACCAGTGTGCAGCCCTACTCCATCCGACTGGCCATCGCCAATACATCCAAGACGGCTCCTTTATCGGCGGCTCGAGTCATCATCCAGTTATGAAGGTGTCCTATCATTTGAGAACATCGGCATGATTTTCCAGAGTTCATAACGATTCATTGGATCGAAGGCGTTTGTTCGGTCTAAAAAGATGGCGTAGAGGTGCATCAGCATTTCTCGCCACTTGTAATGATGTTGGCGGACTTTGAAGCTCATGTATGCGGCTTCGCGGTACTTTGAGAATCCGCACAGTGATTTTGGAAGAAGTCCTTACATCAGATGTGTGTCTAAGAGATAGAATAGAGCCTGGATGAAGATCTGTCCTGCCATACTGAGGAAGGAAATGTCGCCTTCGCTTGCGTCTTTAGAGGCTCACGATGGTGGCGTCTTGAAGTCCTTGTGGATGTCTCCTTGTAGCTGCGTCTCTAAGAAAAAGCAGACTGGCTTTTTCACAAGTAATGGAATTGCGTCTGCATCCGGTGCTTTTCCACTGGGCAGTTGATGCGCTGCACTGATTGACGATCGAGGTCGTCCCTGGTGTCCACTTGACCAAGTGACTAATGACTCATCCGTCAGGAGGTTTTTTGTAATTCTGGCTCAGCAGGAAGGCTGTTGACTTCAGACTGCTCTGAGGGCATATCCACGAAAATCCTCAGGTCTGCGAGTCAGGCAGTCGTTCTGCATTTCTCTTCCAGCTCCTGTTGTATGAGCCACCAGCCCTATTTTCATTGTTGTTGCTTATAATATAGGTCGTGTCTAGACTGTATTTCATATTGACCCAACTGTGAAAAGTCGGCGCCCCGGTGAGATTCAAACCCACGCAGTAAGGGGAAGGCTTTAGTACAGCCAACGCTCTAACCTCTTGAGCTACGAGGCCCCGCCGGACGACGCAATTTAATCACATTTCGGTCAAATTACCCGCCCAACCTACTGCAACGTCTGGAATCCACCAAATCTGATACAGTAAGTTGACTGCCCAAGCAGTTGGGTCAATATGAATTATTCAAAAATCTGCCAAAACATCGGTAGACTGTATTTCTCGTGAGGGGGGGGGGGAGGGGGAAAGTGCAGATTCCTTCGTCATTATCATCAAACAAATCCTGGCGTCGACGGTTTGCGCGATCGATGACTGGGATGGTATCCTGCAGCTCCCTTCACTGGGTTACGAAACTAATATGCGACTCCGGGTTTTTCAGTATTTTCCATTTTAAAGTTCACGGTGTTGCTAAAATTCAGTTTCATTCATCTGTAGCAATTAATCCAAGACACTTAGTCCGACAAATGCCAGTGACGCGAGCGAGGGTGCATCCACGTCGCATTCTCCCGCCTTGGAAGCGAGAAAGGGGTGTTGGTTAAAAGGTCTGAAAGCGTGTGCTATGCCACTATCAACAAATCATAACCCTCGCAGCCTGGTATGCGCTGACAGTTCCCTGACACCTGGCTCCCTGATGGTAGATGCGCTTGCACTCCCGCTGGGTATACAGGTGGTGGACATGGCTGCCCAGTCACCCTCGTCCTTCTGACGTCTGTTTGAGTGTTGTTGTTAGTTAAAATCCTGATGAAGCGTACATTGTGGACTAGGGGATGTGGTAGCACGCCTAGGTGCGGCTCCGGCTGTACTAGCCACCTGTATCCTCCCCCACCTCCGGTCTTCTTGACTCTGTCTTGATATCGCGTCCAGGTGGGGGAGGAGGAGGAGAAAACGCGGCAGACGTCGTGCAAGCCACCGTGCCTGCTTCATCTTGCTGTGAAACACACGGTGAACATAGTTGGCAACGACGGTCGAACTGTTGTTGGTCGGATGGAGGTTGTGTTCCGCACGGCCTACAGGAGGCAAGGTTATTGCTGTTGCGACTGCCAGTGACATGGCCACCCCATACTCCCTCCCAGACAGCACATTCTGGGCCGAGACGGACACCGGGGTCACTAAAATCAGCCAGTTTTTCCGCCTTCAGCACAGTTCATAGGAGGGCGTTCAGGACTTGTCAGAATCTGTTCTTCATATCATCGACAATGGCCGTTTGAGGCAGGCGTAGATGCTGATGTTGGTTGCCGAGTTTCAGTCTTATAGTCATGGTACTGTCATTGTCGCCCTCGACAGTCGTTTCAAGACTTCATTCAAGATGGCGAAGGGGACTCCGGTTTCTTCTAGCTCTGCCCTTGTACGCTCGATCCAGTAGGGGATTTATCCGGCACCAACCTCCTCCACTTGGTCCTGCTCAGAGAAATGGGTGACACTGAGAGCTGCGATGCCCAGTTTATAGAGAGCCGGCTGACCAGAGCCAACCGCCCGTCCGGATGGCTTTTCATTTGACTGTCTGAAAGAGAACGGACATTCCAGGCTGTCTGGTTGAGCAGTATCACTCTGACAGCCTGTGAGAAGTACAGCGATGGAAAGGCGGTTGTTGTTTCTTCCAGCCTTTCGACGGCGGTTTCTGCGTCTACAGGCTACGGTCAGCTTGCTGACGACATGGTTAGGGAACCTTTCTGGCCCCGTTCTTCTAGAGAGGATGAGCAGTGCTATCCACAAATAGGATCGCCTAGCTGTCTGAGACGGCTGCCAAATTCTACTGGGGTCAAGTCTTTGTTTAGTGGAAAGACTATCCCAGTTAGGCCGCGTCACCTACAGGATTACATGCCGTTCGCTTCACCGGGTGTGCAGAAACATATGCGTGGGATACCTCAACTGCATTAGCCAGGCAGTCGGGAACAGTCACTAGACTCAGCAGGATGTCGGAGTTCGAATGCACTGCGTTTCAATTTCCTGTAGAAGCCAAACTCGTGAAAAGTGGCTACTTAAGTAGCATGCATTTTTCTCATTGATTTATGGTGGTCTTGCGAATTCAAACATATTTTATAGAAACCACAGACTGAGAATCACGTCATCGTCATATTTTATACTCGAAGAAGGAGCATAATTATGTTTTAACAAAGTTTTCTAATCCCCGAATGATCTGAAGCCTGATCTGTTGTTGCATTAGCGCTTGGTGCATGTGTTCCGCTTTAAGAAAATCACATATTCTTCTACGAATTTAAAAGGGTACCATATAAAGTCCATAACATTTTGCAATGGATGCGGACCAAGTCGTACATTTCATGAGGAGCAGTGATAAACGCACAGGTACGATGCTGTATGAATGGACTCTGCACGGTCTTAAAAAATCTCATAAATAGAAAACTTTGTTAAAACCTAAACATAATCCTTCTTCGAGTATTAAATATAACGATAACGGGATTCTCTATCAAACGATTAAAAAAAGCATATATTTTGTTTGTGGTTTCTATAAAATATAGTTGAATTCGCAAGACCATCATAAAACAATGGGAAAAAATGCATGCTACATAAGTAGTCATTTTTGCCGAGTTTGGTTTCTGCAGGAGAATGAAACGCAGTGCATTCAAAATCCGACGTCCTGCTGAGTTCGAAATATTATAGAATTATGTCGCAGGTTAATCAATATCCCAACCGCGCCCAAGTAATCCTTCTCAATCGAAAACCCATTTCAGAATTTCGGCCAAAATTTCATGAGATCGGTCATTTACTGCAAGTCACGCACAAGTCAGCGGGTCTGGAACCACCCGTTGCAAAGGTGAATGACCTTCAGGCGATGGTGCCTTGAACAAGGACGCCAGACATGGCTGTCGGCAACACATGTAACTACCAGTGACATCATCCACTCCCAGGCCACTTTTCCTCAAATAAGATATGCATCTCTGGGTGACGTTAAGCACACGTTCGCTGCCCCCCCCCCGGGTGCAGTAATGTTGCCCAGTGAACATCGAGCTCAAACATCTGAAAGTAAGTTTTTCAAAATATTTTTCAGGTTCGTCAATACGACAGTTCGGGAGTGATAATCGGAAAAGAAAATACCCACTGGAAGTTCGCTGAGGCTTTGGAGCACTTGTTCGGCTCCTAATTATTTAAACATTTAATTCGGAAAGTTGAGAGAAATTTTAAATGAATACCTAAGACACTTGGTCTTGAATTGGTCAATGTTTTTCCTCTTTCGCTGCCAGAATCCTTTGGCAGATGTTTGGGAGGCTTGACGGTCTACTGCGTCACGTTTCTTCAATTCCGTGGGGGATGGTTGGACCCCTTTCCCTCCTCCGGAAAAATTCGTCCCGGGGCTGTTTCTGTTCGGTTTTCCTAAGTTCGATTTGACCATCCAGTCGTGTTTTTCACGTACGTATTGACGCAGGAATTTATAAACCGCAGGATGGTCTAGATACATGTTGTGAGTCATTGTTACTTTCAGATGCCTCGGCTTAAGATGGTGGCTCCCTGAAGGCCAAGAGTGGGGCCAGAGTTTCCAGCATTAGTAGCATTTTGCGAGGCTGTATCTATCCTCCGTATTTGCAGTTTTTGCTAATGTAGACGAGTTTGTCACATTCGTCCGGTTTCCCCAACGTAGCTGCAGTCCCCATGACTGCAGCTTATTTGGCAGCGACTGCCAAGAGTTTGATGGGCAGCAGTGTGTCCTAAGGTTTCATCAATTAACGAAGAATTGTTGCCTGAGGTCGATGGGCTATGCCTAATCCGGCGGGTTTTATCAGTCGAGGGGCGGGCAATGGTTGCCGCCGCCGCCGCCGCCGCCGCTGCCACCACCACCGGTCTTAGTAAGTGAATTCTAGTGGACTGGACAAACTTCTTGAGAACACACCCTTTTGCCATCTCAGACAGACTGTCATTTTCTCCTTCTTTAGAGAGTTGAGGTGATTTTGTTTTGCTCTTAAAGGTTAAGCGCAAGATGGGATACTTGAAGGTGGTGTTAGAAGGTGGGGCTCTCATAAGTGTTTAAATTCAACTACATCAAGTACCATCGTCGTGTAAATTGGGCAAGAAAGTGTCAAGAGAACGATGTAGACGAATCGCCTTGAGAAATCTGTGGGAAAACAATTTCCGCTGAGTGGATTAAAAGCACCTCGTGCAAATGGGAGAAGTATTTGCTGGAAAAAGTGGACAGTCGTTCCTTCCCTTTTTTCCACCCGACATAGTAGCATTTTTGCGACAGGTCAAACGAAATTCCCCTTCTAAGCAGCTGGCAGAATTGTCGTAAAACCGCTTCTTATGATAGACTATGGGAAGGTGGAAAGACATAATGCTAGGAAATGTGCACATGCGTTTACAGTTGGTCCCCTCACCACATCAGACATCCGGTACTGTTGATATAAAAGCCTAATTTGTGTATCTGACTAGTTGTTCTGCTCTTGCCTATTTGGACCGTGATTTTTGGTCGGGAGAATTGTTTTTCAATCAAATATGTAAATTTATGGCAGAGAGGCACTCACCGATCGTGTTACAACACTCAACCTTCCCTTTGTGCGGTGGCTGGCGACGGATGCTAAACTAGAAATGGCTATTTCAGTCTGCCTTGTCTTTGTCGTTAGTGTTACTCGCCTATAATACGCGCCCCTTTGCGGCTACTGATTGGGATTCACTGAGATAGAGAGAGAGATCCCGAAGGCACAGCGGGACGAGTTAGTTCCGGCATACGATCGCTGAACACCCCTCTACCAATGCATATTGCCGATCGCAAACGATAGGACAACAAGCCCGTGGGTCAGCGGCAAGAGACGTTGGACTTTTAACCAACAGGTCGCCGGGTCGAGCTCCAGGTGTTCCACATTTCGAGGTCGAGTATGATTGGCTGACGACGAGTAATAAGCCAGAAATGGCCATTAAAGTCTCCCTTGTCTTTATCGGTAGTGTTACTCAGCATATAAATGTATGTCCGTGATAAGCTATGTAAAGGTAAGAAGATGAATTCAATGCGTTCTTTTGAAGATGGACTAGAGAAAATCAAGGATCTGCAGTATCTGCCACCTTCCTAGGAACATTTAATGCCGTCCAGTTGTAAGCGATACGATAATAGAACAGATATATTTCTTGCTTAGTCAAATTGCAAGTTGCTATACCTTCGCATGGTTTGTCCGAAATAGCAGTCTTCTCTGTAACCCCTAGAAATTAAATCGTAAACGAAATTCGCAACTTACAGTGGAGCCGGAAAAGCAGGTATACCTTCGTTTACAAGCATACTTAGTCACTTGAAATTAAAATTTGACCTATTTAGGTTTCTTTATAAACGAACCGATGCATTGTGTCAGGTATTTTCAGTTGGAAAACAGCTGCAACAAGTTTATTTTTATGTCAGAATTTGAATATAAGAGCCCCAGGTCAAGAACCTCAGAAAACCTAAAGAAGACTCAGTAATGAAGAAATGCATTGACATTTTTGAATGAACAAGTCGAATCGAGATCACAAGAACCACTCATCAAACTTAACTTTGCGTGACATTTGCGTCTGGCCGCGTAGAAGTCTGCTGGAAGGTACCGCATGCGGATGGTTTACAAGATTTAAAACGCAGAAGCCTCATCGGTAGCGAAAGTTAAGAGGATGCGACCTACACTAATTCATGCAATGAATGCAGTACAAAATACTGCTGATAAACAGGAAGGCCCACCTCTGCCTCGATTTGCGAATGTTTAAAAGCCCATCCCGTCGAGAGCTGCATTAAGAAGAATACACCCTGTGCCTACAATCTCGGTAACGCTTAAAAAACCTCCATGGCGATCTGAAAAAAGGTTCAAATGCAAACTAAACGTCTCGAATCAGTGGAAACGCGGTCGTCCAAGTGGGAACCGAATGTATACTTTTTATCGGCCTTAGCAGCGATCAAGGTGCATTTGTATATCTTTACGGCGTCTGCGAAATAAAAAGTTAACGACATCTGTGTTTCTCCTGTGCAGAGTTGAATGCATGTTTGCCTGCCTGTCTACCGTAAGACAGATATCCATGCATACATGCATATTTTGAAATAGGTAAGAGTCTCTGGGAACAAAATAACCTTTATTGCGTACAATTTTCGAAACTGGTTCCCCAGCTCATCGACAGACCTCAGCGTTATGTGCAAAAGCAGTTAACCATTTAAACCGCGTCGAACAAGTGATCCCCTAGTTGGTCGAAGTCTGCACCAATGCGCGTCAATGATATTTCGTCGTCCCCACAGTATTGGCCGAGCTCGCTTCGATTTGTCCTCGGGAAATTTGTACGTGACTTTTAAATCGATATGCCGACTGATGCTTGCCTCAGCGGAGTGCATTGCTTTAAGGAATTCACGGCCACTCCTTAAAGGGCAGGCACCAACAATGCGAGCGTTCACCCATGCAATTGGATTTCCAGTGTCCAGCGTGTGCATCTCCACCTGGGATAGATGATCTCATCTCTTCACCGCTAACTGATGCTCATGTAAGTGGATTGAGGCAGATTTCCCAGGCTGGCCACAATAGACGGCATCACAACAGGAACATGGGATCTTGTAGACAACACCTTTTCTATCGAGATAGCCAAATCTGCCCTTAGGTGTACAAGCTGTGTACGCAAGGTGGTTGCAGGTTGGTGTGCTACTTGTATCTATCCTTTGTGATGATTTTGGTGCCTTGGTGGCCGTTTCTCGTAGTCGTGTTATTAGTCACTTTGAAGGCCACATCATTTAGGTAAAATGGCCCGGACAGGCCATCCACGTGGACTAGTGCTGGGGTGTGTCTCGGACAATTGAAGTGGATTGTTCGATGCGCAGGCTGTTTGACCGGTGGTCAGCACTCTTGGGTAGATTTCTATGGCATTCCCCACCCCCAGGTTCACAGTACTCGGCAATACATGCGTGGCTGATGAGCACTGTGGCCTGCGAAACGGACCGCCCTATCGAATGAGACCAAACGGTGTCTCCCCAGCGTGTGACAGATATTTAGTTGAGGCGTATGTCCCGTTACACAGAGGCCGAGCACATCAACAGTCAGTCTGACTCGGGCTGGATGAGTTGGAAGGGAGAAGATGAGAGTAAGATTGTTCCGGCTTTAGCCTGGTAAAGTTTACCCACAAACATACCAAAAATACCAACTTATGAAATCGACAATGAATGGAATAACACGGCTAAACGAGCGACTGCGGTTCGGGCTCAAATGAATGCCTCTCACTATGGTCTCCGTACTGGCGTCGAATAGCTTAGGAAAATTCAACTATTCAACGTCTTTAATCTACGAATGGTACGTGGAATCCCTAATTTTGTCACTACTGGTTGTTGTTGTCCGTAATTTCGTTTAAAAGACATCTATGCATCCCAATTCACTTCTACTATCATAGCCGCATAGTACGAAGTTTGCCACACAGATATACTCGTGTACGACGTCATGCAGGTTTTTGCTTTGCATTTTTCCTTTCCTTCTGTAACTTATACCTGATAAAGATAGACTGAATCTTGGTTTCCGAGTTGTAAATAAACTCAAGGTAACAATCGGGAGATGGCACCCAAAACAATCCGTTACCTGGAATTAATACCTTTAACAGTGGACTCAAACGCCTTCAGGCTATATCCGTGGTTGCAGGCCTTCTTTCACGAACTACGTGGACTTTCCGCGACGGCCTAACACGGGCTGGCCGAACGAACATCGCAGGAGGTTACATGGACGATGGTCGATGTTACCCAACCTTCCCCATAATTGTACACGTACACCTAAATATACGGCATACAATCGCATTATGGTAGTTCATTACAAAACAAATTACTTTTAAATAGGATAAGTCTGCACAACATGGGACAGAAACAGTTTCCAGGCATCTGTCAAAGACATGGCATTGAGGCCAAACCAAAGACGATGCTGTACTTCGTCTATGTGAGCCCACACAGCTTGACCAAATACAGGACCTCCCTCGTGGACTTTCCTTTTCAGGCTACTCCAGTATGCCTCAATGGCATTGGTGTGCCGTCCGGTTGTAGGCTCCTTGGAGTTCTTTGAGTGGTTAACATAGAACTGTAGATAACCTTCTGAGGGAAGACGATTATACACCTTCCACTCGTCCGTTACCACTATACTGCCTTTGGCAACCCATTTTGTAATAACGTAACGGAGAGCGGGCCAACTTCGATCATACACCTATTTAAATAGGGATTTCCGTCGGCTAGTATCGTACATCTCGACCAGCTACCACCCATAAGACCCTTATTACTACCTGTCCCGTAAGACAGGCTGCTTTCGTTAGGCGGATTTTTTGGGTGCCACCTCCCGATTGTTACCAAACTGAATCCTTTTTCTGGGAATAATCCAAAACATTGCTTTTATACTATTTAGAAGAAGCAGTTTCTTTACCTCGGGAGCATGTGTAAATGCAGTATTTAAGTTGATGAAACGATAATCTGGTACGCATGCCTATGCAAGACAAGTTGTGCTCCCACTTTCCTGAATTGGTTCCTACTTACCTGTCGGTCATTTTCTCTAAAAGAAAGTGATACATCTCTTCGTATTATTGTCGTGACGACTCCTGGTAATCATGAGATATTATAATAAGTCTTTTGCAGCAAGCTGGGCCGAGAGTGAAACCCTGGCTGTTGAGACTTTCAGGTCCGGCGTCGAATCCAAAGAGAAGGTGAACACCAGCGGGGAGGGAGACCCCTCAGTCGGGGAGAAACTGCAACCGAGCTCTCTGACAACCCTACAGGTCGCACCTTTTATGTCTGCGATGGCAAGAGGCGCAGACATTTCCTTCTCGATGCTGATGCTCACATCAGTGTCATCCCCCCTACACCCCGGCCGACCGACGCTGTCCCATCCGTGATCTTTTCGTCCAGACCGCAAATTTTTTCCTAATCGCAATATTTAGATCCTGATTCCTCCCCCTGAACATCAGCGCCAGACGACTATTCCCCTGGATCTTCGAGAGGGCAATGCTTTACCTCTATCCGTGGTGCTGACTCACTGGTCGCTTTCGATTTTCCGGTTGATTACAGCCAACTCTGCCTTCCTGACCACATATTCCCCAGCTTCCATCTATCCGCGACCCAAACCCTGTCTGTTTCAGAAACTTTTACCACATGCCCTAGTCTTACTAAGGCTTGCTATTCCGGTTCTTTCTTGCCCTGTCGTATTATTCATCACTTTAAAACAGCTGGTCCCCCTGTTTCCTCTCGCCGCCGACATCGTTCGCCTACTCATTTTGCTGCTGCCTAAGTTAAGTTTAGCCACAGTTAGTCCCTGGGCATATGCTTTCCAAAACCCAAGACGGATGATTGGCGTTCTTGCGACGTTTACAGGGCCTTTAACAACTTCACCACGCCCGACCGGTATCCGGTTCCTCATCTTCAGGACTTTGCCGAAGCTCTCTTTGGCGAAATCGCTTTGTCGTTGGTCCGGGCTTTCATCATATTTGATTGCGTTCGAGGACGTTACAAAGACAGCTGTGACGGTTCCTTTTGGCTTGTTCAAATTTCTTTGCAAATCATTTAATCTCCGGAGTGTCGCACCGACATTCCAACGTTTTGTTGATCGTGTCTTACGTGGGTTTTCTTTGGCCTGTGCTTATATTGACGATGTCATAATTGCCAATCGAGATACTGAGGAATATCTCCAACATCTCACCGTGCTCTTCGGCTGTTCCTAGCCGGTCGGTGTCATCCTGCATCCATGCTAAATGCGTCCTAGGAGACACTTCTTTTTAATTCTTTCGTCATTAGATTAACTCCACTGGCATTCCTCCCCTTCCCTCGGACGTTGCTATTATTTGGAACTTTCAGCCATATACCTCCAATCGTCGACTGCGACGTCGGTTCCTCCCGAACTGCACCGACACAATCCTCCCGCTGAACGGCCGCCTTTCAAGTTATCAGCGCACCTTTGACTTTCACCAGTAACATGCACGTCATTCGAGCAGATTAAAGCTATTCTGGTTGATGTCACTCTCCCGACTCACTTTCCTGCTGACGCACCCATATCTCCAATGGTTAATTCTCCAAATTCGCAAAGTCGAGAGATCCGGGGTGTTGATTCGAAGAAAAAGATGGACTCACCGGAACGGGTCAATGCTGAGGTTTCGAAGAGATTGGTTGGCTCCCCATTGTCAAGGGGCCAAGTGCAGTTAATCTATCAGGAATTTCAAGTGGAATGCCGCGTTGGTCGGCCGCAAACTGATCACTTTTTCTCTTATCTCGCTGCCTCGCCCTCCTGTGGGGATGGTTGGCGGGCCTATTCTCTTAGTGCTTCGTGAGTCATCGCTTCGTCAGGGGGAGATGATTGAACTTTCGTCCGGTGGTCGGTCTGGTAGTACCTCTTCCTGGCTGAGTAGACTCGCCGTCGGCCTATGTATGGCCCCCGAAGAAACGGTGACTCACAAAGCACACAGATAAAACGCCCGCCAACCATCCCCCGAGAGGCTGAGATAGCAAGAGAAGTGAAAAATCGATTAGCATGAGGCCGACCGGCACGTCATGCGACTTGAAATTTCTGGTAGATTAAGTGAACCTTATGCTTTGATAATGAGGAGCTGACCAAGCTCTTAGAAACGTCAGCACTTAAATAAACCCGTTCCGGTTAGTCCTTCTTCTTCTTCATCTTCTTTTTTTTCTAATGCTGTGCGTGTGATTATCCAGCAATGTCTGCCAGATTCGAAGGCGTCCTAGGCATTCCTCTCAAGGAAATTATCCAACGCTGAGACCCGTTACAACACAATTGAACGGAACTTCTTGCCACTTATCTCGCTGTAAAGTCATTTCGGCATCATCTGGAAGGCCAAGAGTACGCAATATTTACAGATCACAAGTCGCATTCTTTTTTAAATCTATTTCAAATCCGACAAGCTTAACCAGGGCGAACCCATAAACTGGACTACAGTTTATATCAGGCATCCGCCATATCGACGATGAGTTGGCTGATGTGCTATCCAGGCCATCCGACACTCATGTCCAGTTTTCTCCCAGGATCGACGTCACTAAGATGACTGCTGAGCAGCACCGTATGAAATCTCCTTTTGACGAGGATGTTCCCGAACTCCAAATTTACAACAAACCATCGACTACTGGCAACGGAACTATTTTCTGTGACGCCTCCACCTCATCAAATCGTCCCTTTGTGTCACCATGCCTTCGCCGTAAAGTTTTCTTCTTCCTACACAATCTATCGTATTCTGGGAGTCGATCAATCGGCAAGCTGGTGTCCGACCGCTTCACCTCTAGGGGCACGACAAGGCCTTTTTCGGCACCTCTCCCGGTCCGGTGCGTGTTTCAGCAACGTCAGCCCGGGCACTGTTGGGGCCCTGCCTCCGTCCAGTGGTTTCCCCTAATTCTCCACCTATGTGAACCGTTTCGCCCAGTGGCCGGAAGCTATTCCTCTACCTGATCTCAAGGCGTTCCTTAGCTGTTAGGCTGCCATGTTTGATGTTCCCTCCACCATCGCGACAGACTGCGGTGCCCAGTTTGAGTCTAATGTCATTCGGTCTCTCCTCTCCTTTTAAGGCTGCATTCGTATCCGCACAACAACCTATTACCTGCCTACCAACGAGATGATCGGGCGGTTTCATCGTCAGCTGAGGACCTCCACAGGCACCGCAGACGATCCGGAGAACTGGATATACTATCTCCCCTGGGCCCTGTTGGACATCCGCTCCGCTCCTAAGTCAGACACTTACTAGTTTCCTGCTTAGCTGGTGTTCTGTGCCACCGTTTGACCCCCCGTGAGATGAGCGCTCAACCTCGCACGATGCGTTCGAGGATCATACAAGCATCCTGCAGAGTCTGCGACAATTTCTTCGGACACAATCCTCCGTTCCAGCAGTTGTATCTCGCAAAAGACCAGGAGATATGTTCTCACATCCACCTCCGATGTGATCGCGTCCGACGACCATTGGCACCTCCGTAGCACAGCCCATTCCGGGTTGTCTCTCGAGTGATGAAGACCTTCCGCATCCAGCGCGGAACCTCCGAGGAGGTCGTGGGTCGCCTCGAAGCTGCAGTCCGTAGACTCCACGGGATGAACCACGTGATCCCCAACTCCCCCCCTCTCTAATCTTCCGCACTGCATATTCCCATTTTCGCCATCTTTGCTGCCATCAGCGAAAACTCCCTTATCAAACGCAAGCACTACATCCGCAGTGAAACCTTAATCTTCTGCCGCCCTGTACACATAGCCTGTAGTGAACGCCACGTACAATTTCCTGATCGTCTCGTTGCTCATTTTCTTATATCTCTCGGCATGATTTTGCCACGCTGTCCGGTTTCGGAGGGGGGTACTGTGCCGAGGTGGCAGACTAACTTGCCTTCAAATGTCTGGTTGCATTTCTTCAGCTATACTGCTTGTTGAGATGGATGGATGCAAGTTTTCTGAAGCTTCCCGCAGGACACGTGTGATTGGCGATCAAGTCCTTGGGCACATGATTATCAATATTTATATAACTACTGATCGTGTGCTGTCATTAGTAAGTAGTGGCTACTGATTGCGTCCATATCGTTGCCTACGAACTGACTTGCGATTATATTTTGAAATGACCACTCAAAAGCGTATCGACAAAAGTCAACGAACGCTTCATGACTTTGCTGATTGCTGTATGATTTTAAAACACCGATTGCATTCTATCACACAGGAAAATACGGTGACTAGATGTATGGCAAATTTCCGAAAAGGAAAAAAATAAGGTGATCTGAAGCCATCACTAACGTAACCGCAGTTGCAGTTAGTTTCGTTTCGGATTTACTACTTCGAATCGGCTCACTGGTACTTCAAATAAAATTGTCAAAAACAGAGGTAAAAATGGCCTATTTAATGTTTTTATGCTAGTTCCTGTCGAGAGTGAACATTCATGGCGTACAGTACGTAAAAAGATGCAGCAGTTTGCAAGTTCTGGTTTGTTAAATACTTTGGGGACAGTTCAAAGTACGCATAGGTGAATGTCTTGGATTTGATCAGAACTGCATTATCGAGGAAAATCATTATTCCCTTGCCTTTTAGTGCTGACTGTTCCCGACCTTCGAAGATGGCTTCAGCTTTAAGGGTTATATTTTAAGTTTCGACAACGACTGTGTCTATATGGGCTGAGCGAAGGAAAGTCCAAGATAAGAAGAAGAAGAGCGGTCGAACACCTGAACAGTTTGTTCTGAGCTTTCGTACTCGTACAGGAGTCCGTCGTCAGAGATAAAAGCAGCAACAAAACAAGCAGAAGTTATAGGGCGTGCAAGCCAATCATCAACCGACGGCGCAAGTCTGGAGGTGACTGGGCAGGGCTCTGTACGCCAGCACCAGATCGATAAACCGATTGACTGAGTTCCCGTCCCAGGCCCAGGCTTCAGTCAATTCTCGGTCTGTTTTGTTTCCGGTGTGGACGACTATTTTGGCGACTGCGAACTTGAAATCATGACCCGTTTCGCAGGTGTGGGCGGCCGCTTGTGATAATGCGTCGCCTCGTCGCGCAACCAGCTTAGGTTCGTGTGTGCGCGATCTGAGCATGCGTGCAGCCTGGCCTGCCTAAATACGAGAACAGTTTTGGCACGGGATGTGATACACTACTCCAGATTGCTCCTAAGTCTTTAACCGGTCTTTAATTTTTATGACCCTACTGCGAATGGTGACTTTGGGGCTGTGTACAATTCCGACATCTAACTCCGCAACAATGCTCTCGGTCGCTTCTGAAACGTCCTTGAGGTACAGCAGAGAGTGCGATGTCGTTAGTGTTGTTGATGTTATGTCCCTTGAGGCGACCGCGTAGGTATCGACTTATGAGTGCCCTCGGATAGCCACTTTGCACAACCTGGTCGTGGAGATAACTGGCCTCACGTGCTCTTTCCTCCAGTTTGCTGCAATGAGTCGGAATCCGTTTGAAGAGCGTCTTCATACAGCTTCTCTTAGGAGCCGCCGGATGGTTGGTATGAAAACTGAGAAGCTTTGTAGTGTTTGTTGCCTTCCTATAAACCGTCGTTTCAAGTTCACCGTTGAGGTTTCGTCTGGCAAGCACATCCACAAAGGGCAACCGCTATTTCTCTCTACTCTAATAGGCAAGTGCTTGTCGTCAGGGAGCTGCATCGACATACAGTATGTTGACAGATGCATCATTTTGCAAGTTCTGGTTTGTTTAGTACAATGAGGACAGTTCAAAGTACACGCAGGCAGATTCTTCTGATTTAATCAGAACTACATTATCTAAGAAAACCCCTATTTCCTTTTACTGAAGTGCTGACATTTCCGAATCTCCAGACATGCCTTCTCCCTTGAGGATTGCATTTTGAGGTTTGAAAATGCGGTGTGTATGTGAGCTGGACGATCGACGAGGAAGTATAAACTGTAAACAAGGTAGGGCTGACCTATTTGGCCCCCTAAACAGGACGGAAAAATAGGAAGTTGCCGCCCAAGTGATAAAAGAGAACCTGCGTATAATTCCGAAAAAGGCATAATATTCTCCTACCCTAACCCCAACAATACCTCTGGCATTAAACCACCTTACCGCCCCAGTTTGACCCTTACCCTACTCAAGACCTAAACTATACAGTAAACACTGGTCATTACGTTAACCCCGAACTTGGTCCTGATTTACCTTAGCGTCAACTTAACGTCTATCCTTAAACATGATCCTTAGCCTTACCCTAACCCTTGCCTTAAGTCTAACCCTAATTTCACTGGAAGTTGGCTCAAGATCACCCGTATTGCAGGCTGTTCGTGTCACTGAGTCCTGTTTATGGGGCGGCATACGTCGTTCCAACTGAAATAGTTGTGGCTGAGAGGGCTGAAACGAATAAAAAGGGACATCTCTATATAAATGCTCTGGCAAGGCTACAGTTTGCCGACGGAAACTTATTCAACCACCTGGAGGAATTTACAGTCTCAATGAACCAATCAGGGCGTGTGTGAAGGCCAATGAGACGTTTTTAGGAAAGAAAGACTTGAAGCAGCGAGGATTCTCCAAGCACTTGGTCTTTCAGAGCAAGGCAATTAACGTCACGGAAACCAAGCAAATTTTTGCGCACAGGTGCTTTTTGTTGGTAGTCACATGACGGCAACAAAACTGGTAGGACAGTACAAACGTTTTTGCAGAAAAAATAGCCATTTGCGAAACTGTGAAGAGCGTTTAAAACGAAACCGGTGCATAGAGGCTGTTATTAGAGGGCGGGAGGACAAATGACACAAAAACGGACAAAGCAAGTAGGCAGGCTGGCCTCCAATGGCAACTACAGGTGAAGCCATATGGAATACCGTAAGAATTGCCTAACTGGGGACTGTAAAGCTGCAAAAATAGAAAACAGCGCAGGAACAGTTTTGGCATTTAGCACAGTCAAGGAGAAAATGGGAGCACTCGGCGAAAACATGCCCTGACAGGAACCAAAATTTACGCATACGGGCTGTAGAGACTACAGCACGGCTTTCGGGAAACAGGTGTCTTAAAGCCAAGGCGAAATCCAAGTTGAGATATTTATTAACTTTAACATGAGATTAGGTATAGCACGACAAACTGCACATCATTGATTACCGAGAAGAACTCCTAAAAGTATTCGAGGAACAGAACCGAGCGCCAGCAGTTTTCATCGCAAGTGTCGTAAGTTTATGCTGTGAAGAGTGCTGATAAAGACAAAGGAGTCTCAACTGCTCATTACTGGCTTGTGAGCGCTCATCAGTCAACCATATCCAACCCCAGCGTTGATGTACCTGCATTTTTTGCAGGGGGTCTTCTGTCTTTTATCTGAGCGAAATTGGATTGGAGCAATGTCAGAATATTCCCAACAAACGGAATGAATATAAGAAAAAAACTGTACAAAAATAAGAGGTAGAGCAGAAAGGAACGGACTTCGGTCCAAATATTCATAGATAGAATCTTCGGTCTGAGCCTACAGCCTACTGGTCTACTCCAACTTCGCAGTTTATTTCTAAGGAAATTTAAAAGCCAGAATTTCTAAATTGGAGTGTCTACCAGAAAGCAGAAAAGAATGCTGGAGGGGGAGGGGCACTGATGAGCCTAACTCTTCGCAGCTGTGTCCTGCAGTGGCAGAATATCGGCGAAACACGCCTGTATGGGCTTTTAGTTATTGCCTGTGGTGTTAGTATGGAATCACCTTGGCCTAAAGAAAGGTTACCATAAGTCCACTTAGCCCTGCTGGGATCGAATTATTGCTGACTCCACGCTCAACTGCAGAAGCTCGGTGACCAATCAAAGTCCCTTTGATGAAGCCCTTCGGAGTATCGCTGTTTGACAGTACCACATAAACAGTGGCGCCGTCCGCAGCACTGTTACAAAAGCCATCCTACTTGTGACATAACCCCCCCATATCCAAGCAATACATAGTTTTTATGCCCCCTTGCCTATGTGCGAGGACATTTATGATGATTTGTAGTGATCTGATCCATGGTTCTGCAAAGGCGAATGAAGCTACGCAGCTACGCGGCCATATTTTTAAATCGGTCAATAGGTTCACGGTGCACTAGGAATGGGCTTGCTTGCAGCGGCCGACTGCCAACACTGTCGTGAAAAGGGCCCGCATTGTTCAACGTACTGCCAGGTAAGATATGGTTATGTAGCTCCACCTGATGGACACAATACTGCTGGGGGTAGGGTCAGGCTTAGGGGTTCGGGCAACTATTCGCTTTATTTTTAAGTCACAAATTCCAAATTTTTGGCAAAAATGGCCCTATTCACTATGGGCATTAAAAAAAGTT